GATCACCTCAGTCAGCAGAGATCTTGGTCTCCCACTAGAAAGCTCGGACAGTCTACAGCAATGTGTCTGTTTCCTCTTTTCCCTCTTTTTTTTCCTTCTCTGTTTTGAGAAGACATTTGGAGGCTGCGATAGAACACTGTATAAGAGTGTCCCTGACACTGATCTAACCTTAAAAGAATTTCTGTTTCACTGGAGTGTTTTCTCCTGTGTTTTTGCAGACACCAGAGCTTTAAGAAGCCATTTCTGATTCAGTGAAGTTATTTTTGAAAATAGCACAAAAGTAAATGAAACTAATCATGCAAATATTCCAGCTTCCAAATGGTAGCAGTTGATCTCTGTTACGCCTGGATTGAATGACAATTAGAATCTTCTTGTAGGATGCTTAGTCACCTCTCCCTTTGTCCTACATATTCCTTCCTCCCTCATCTAACCAGTGCTTCCTGCAAACTGTGCCCTTACTGACATTCACGTCAAGTGGAATTTTGAGATCTGAAACTGATATACAATGTCAGGGGTTAGGTATTGTCTGTACTCAGAGACGGACCATTCTTACTTAAAAAAATTGTACCAGTAGTTTTCTCCCTATGGGGATTTTGTGTGTGGCTGTGTGTGAGTGTGGTGACATCTGAAGAAAACATGCTTGTATTGACTTTCTCTGGTCAAAATGTAATTTTGAATCTGGATGTTAATTTATATTCTTCTATATCTCCATGGCCTCTGTACTACAATAGAGATAAGCATTTCAAAATTCCCATTAAATATCAAACCCACTCATCTTCTTAAAAGTTCTTCAGACTCTGTTGGCCTGTGTCTTTTGTCCATTTTAAACTTTATTCCTTGTTTCAGGCTGTGGTCCAACTTCCAGCTTATTCCAAACTGACTAGTTCAAACATTAAAGCAAGCTATTCCTTCACATGAACTACTGTTTAAGTTGCCCTTCATTCAGGCCAATTATCTCTAGATCAAATCTAGATCCGACCCGACCCGTGACCCATGCTACACACAATGATATTTTAACTTGTGCAGTTACAAGTGTAACATAGAAACATGAATTCTAATCATGATTAACTATGAATTAATTACTATGCTGCTGTGTCCACACTGCCAGCTGGGCACCGATGTCAACCCAGCCCTGTGTCAGTTCACCAAATAACAATAAATATTTCTTTTTGTCTAAACAAGAAGTTTCCTTGGGGTATTCAAGATTCATTTCCTATTATTCAAACTAAGTTGCTAGCTGATTTGCAAGGAAAATCCAACATTGCAGAAACCTGCATTTCCTGTTCAACATATTAGTCTCTCTCTCTCTGGCTCTTTTTCTCTCCTTCAATTCAACTCTCTTCTTCTCTCTTTCATGTTTTCTCTGCACTATAGGCAACACACAGCTCCACAGAGGACAAAAAAGAGAAAGATCCACATCAAGCACAGTGATCCACAGCTGCCATGCCCCGCTGCAGAGTGAACCTCAGCACCATGATCTTCCTAGTGATCCTGCAGGGGGCAGCAGTGGTGCTGTTCTGTGGCTGGTATGTCCAGCTCAGTCCCTGCAGCCCCGCCCCCAGCAATGGCAAAGTTCACGTTCTGCTGCTGTCGTCGTGGCGGTCGGGCTCGTCCTTCCTGGGCCAGGTGTTCAGTCAGCATCCGTCTGTCTTCTATCTTATGGAGCCCGCTTGGCATGTGTGGACCAAGCTGCAGAAACCCGGTGCGCGGGTGCTCCGAATGGCCGTGAGGGATCTGTTACGGAGCGTATTCCAGTGCGACATCTCTGTGATGGAGGCCTACCTGCCAGAGCACCACAATGTGTCCGCCCTGTTTATGTGGAGTCAGAGTCGAGCGCTGTGCTCACCGCCGGCCTGTCCTCTCACTCCACGCAACCAGTTCAGCAATCAGACTCGGTGCCAACAGACGTGTGATGCTAGGGGCCTTCAGGGGGTGCAGGAGGCATGTGGCACTTACAGCCACGTGGTGTTAAAAGAAGTGCGATTTTTTGAGCTGGAATCTCTCTACCCACTCCTGCAGGACCCAAGCCTAGATCTCCGCATCATCCACCTGGTCCGAGACCCTCGGGCTGTGGTGCGGTCTAGAGAGCAGTCAGCCAAAGCCTTCATGAATGACAACGCCATCGTCTTGGAGCAGAAAAGCATACCAGCAGCCGAGGTGCAGTATCAAGTCATGCAGGAGATCTGCCGTAGCCATGTGCGCATCAACGAGAGGGCCATCCTGAAGCCCCCTCCATTTCTAAAAGGCCGCTACAAAATGGTCCGCTATGAGGACATGGCGCGCAACCCGCTTGCAGAGATAAATGCCATGTATGAGTTTGTAGGTCTGAAGATGACCAGACAGCTGGAGGAATGGATCTACAGGGTGACCCACGGAAAAGGCAAAGGCACCAAGGAACAGGCCTTCGAAATTACCTCACGGAACGCCGCTGACGTCTCTCAGGCTTGGCGTAGCACGCTGCCCCACAACAAGGTTAAACGTATCCAGGAAGTGTGTAAAGGAGCCATGTCATTGCTAGGGTACAGGACTGTTAACAGCGAAAAAGAACAGAAGAGACTTGACATAGATCTATTAGTGCCACGGGAACCATATCAGTTCAGCTGGTTGCCAGCTAAAACAGAGGATCCGGGTAACAGCTAAAACATGAGACATTAACACCACAAGACTACATTGGACTGAAGTCTATATTCTTTAGAGGCTTCACTGACCGTGTAAAACTTGATAAGATTCATTAACTGAGGGAACACTGGCATGATGTCCAAGGTTAAAGCATTGATTTGTGACGAATACACACTATCAGTGGAGTGAGAGGATTAAAATGTGAAATGACAGCACAGCAGTATTGTATGACAATACATTTTGTACAGCGACAAACATTAACTAAACTGGAAAACAGTACCAGATTCACCAAGATTTGGTGACATTATTCTTTGTTCCCTGAAGCCTCTTTATAAACAGCTTCATGTCAGCATGTTTGGCTCGGGTGTTAAACACAAGAAATAAACCCTTTTCAAAAGGTTTCACAATTTGGGTGAGTTTGCATTGCAGCCTTTTTGTGTATTTCATTTGCATGGCCACACATGCGAATCATTTGGTTGGAAACATGGAAGCTGAAAGGGAATTATTGTGCACAGTTAAGTTGTTAATCGTGTGAGCCCATGTTGGGTTTTGCAGTTATTCTGGTAGTGGTGGTGGCCACCACGTATTCAGCAGTGCTGTGCTCATGTAAATCAGCAATCGCTGCAAATTGTCTGTCAGTCATATTCCATCACAGCAGAGTCCATTTGAATCCACATTGTTTATAGTGTGACACCACCTCCCCATGTCAAGGAGGCTGTCTCTGGGTGTGTTTCATTAGTAGTTCCTCTTTCCCTTTTACTCACCCTCAGCCCCTGGCATTACCTAACAGCAGACGTGCATGGAGGCATTGAAGAGAGGAGGGAAAGGGGGCAGGGGAGGAGCGGGGGATTCAAATGGAACCCAAACACTTTACACCTTAATGGATCGACCACCAGTTTTGGGATTAGCGCTAAACTGCTTTTTAGACATCATGTACCTGCACACATGTAAGCCTGCCTATACAGACCGATGAGACATTCTAAACACTGAAATTGAAAAACAATCTGTAATTTTCATACGGATGAAAACAAGCTCATTAGCTAACTCCGGAACATTTACATCAAATTCTGTCAACAGAAATGTTGATTAATGTGCAGAGTTTTACTCACATTACCACCATTGTCAGGTTTATTTATAGTGCACATTTAACACCAGGCATTGACCAAAGTGCAGAGGGCAGGATGAACAACCAATGAAAGCAGCATGTTCCCCTCACTACCTCTTACGTCCACCCTGCATCATTATCTTTGGTTTGCACCTTCAGCACCTCTGAACACTGCTGACCTTTCTGATCCACACACTGCATTGTTTGTCGGGGTAACTCCCTCCCTGTCGCATTGCCTGAGCCAGTTCGTGACACTGGGCATCATGCCAGTGTCCCCTGAAGGTTTGATCTGTCCCAACAGGAGACTGTTTTAGTTTTAGTTTAGTTTAGTTTTTTAGTTTTA